TAAATTTTTCAAAATTCTTTACCCCAGAAAAGACCCTTTATATTCAAATGCTTATATTAACATCTTTTGAGTTTTTATAACAAATGAAGGCTACCACAGGTTTGAGAGGGGAGGGGTGAGGTGAGGGGTGTTCAGCTGCAACATGCAATTTCAACACTAGATATCACTAAATTCTACACACTGTACCTTTAAGTAAGTTTGTTAAAAGCACTGGCATAACATGTATTATTATTATTATTATATTTTTGTAATTTTTTCACACAGATTCCTTTGGAAAGCACTTTATGCCTAAGTGCTAAAATGACATTTATTATAAAACAGTATAATATAACATAATAGTATGCATAATAGCATAGCATAATATGATAAATAATAATACACTGCTGTATTTACACTGCAGAGTGCCTCGGCCCTAACCACACTGGCGTTTATCGGCAGGTTAGACCTCATGAGAGTGGGTGGAGGTGTCCCGGGAATGATGTCATCCCACTAAACTGCACTAATGAGAACAACAACAGGTTAACCCCGCCCTAAAAGGGATCCTGCAACCTAATCGACTGGCTGAGGGAGACGTCATTCAAACTATAATTGATGAGGTCTAATTAATGAACACAAGTTAAAACCTGTGAGGGTGGAGTATTATTCAACATTTCAGATGTCGATTATACAACATGATCACTTTCATACATCAGATATGAAATAACAAACTTTTTCCATTTTCATTAAAATGTTCGGCTTTGTTAGAATTTGCATCATTATTATGTTTTCATAGTTTCATAGAACATCTAAACATTTCTTCCACCACTACATTCAGGGAAAGTGTGTCTGTGGTAATGAGTTTATAAAGTGACCAGTGGCATCATAATTAGGGAGAGTTCCTACAGGATATCATATATGATATATTATTTGACTTATACTGATGCAGGCCATAGAATCCTTAATGAGGAGGCTGCACTTCTAATCAAATAATAATAAAACAAACCTCTTGTCACAAAATCATATTTATCATTAGTAACCTGACATGAGTCTCTTCTGCAGGAAATCTATGTCAAACATGTTTAACTTTAGTTTACATTGTGTTTGAAGTTATGGTGGATCGAATACACTAGGTGGACTGATTGTTCTGAAGGTGATTTATTAAGCTACCATGTATATTCTGTTGTGTGCACCAGACTGTGAGATGACAGGAAACACACAGTGAAAGGAATGCAGACATGCAGTGATGGAAGTACAAACAAATAGACAAAAATGTACAAAAGTAAAAGTATCACATAAAAATTTCAACTCGAGTGAAAGCAAGTACTTGCTTTTAAATATACTTAAAGTATTAAAAGTAAAAGTATTTGCCAGGTGCAGTGTTTTCCTGAGTGCAACTATATCATTAACTTAGCATATTTTGTTTGAAACCAGAACAACACAGACTCTGTCATATTCTAAAGAATTCTACAGATGATGCTATTGCGAACACAAAAGTGTTGGAAGTGTAGAAAAAATACAGATATTTGCTAATATATGTTGTGGGCAACAAATACCCCAAAAATAAATCTGCTATAAGCCAAGTGGAAAAACGTGAAAGTTTTATTTAAATACAGTAACTAAGTAAATATGAACTACTTTACATTACATCCCACCAGCCCAGACACCATCTTTTATCTTTAATGAGATTCAAATTCTTTACACAACTTTAAATCTTAATTATTTCCAACAAGACACTGATTTATTTTTTTAGATATAAGCTATATCCATAGACTGTATATAAAAAGGCTATATCCTGAAAGTTTTAAAGGCCATGGATTATACCCCCCTCTGTATGATGAGAAAATATCAGCAAGACTAATTCACAGAGAGACTACAAGAAGAAATAATATATGACTGATGTTAGAATACTGTACTGAACATGTGCAGTGAACCTTGGTGCTGCCTTTCCTCCAGTAGAGGGCGATCTTCACCCACAACATAGTTTCTGTGCCCCCCCGAGCCTCTGGATGAGGTTGGGTCCCAAACCAAAGACTGTAAACTATAAACTACAAACTATAAACTATAAACTATAAGTACAAACTGACTGTAAGACCTAACCTCCGCAGGCAGATCAGAGCCTTTCATATCATATAGTTTAATACCATTCAGTTCAATGACACCTTAATATAATCATAACCATAAACACCTCTCTAAGCTGTATGTTCCTAATAAACTGGCAGCTGCAGCTCACATATAGAAGCATCATGGCACCTTCAGACAAAAACAGGAAGAGATAGTGAAACAGTGACTCAGGAGAACTTCCGGTGGTTGATTAGTTGGACAGAAAACACTGCCGTATATATACAACATCCAGGACATGATTTTTATTGAGTACAAGAACAGCTTTCTCAACCACAGCATATCAAAATCAGCAAGATCAGCGTCAATTCAAAAACCAATAACTAGAAATGGTTAAAAAATGTGTGGGTATCTATATTTGTATATCTGGTGTTCTTAATTAAAGACCACTCGTATTTTAAGGTGCAAATTTAGTAAATTACAAAAACCTGAAGCTCTGTTTAGGATTTTACTGTAGAAACAAGTTCTGTATTGTATATGAAGGCCTCACTTCATTCTCTTCACATGCTGGATAGGGTTTATCATTGGCTGCTTAGATTCGTTATTAAAAACTGTCACTCTTATTCACCGTAGTGACCAAATTGGTCTCCCTCATGCCACCGGTATGTGTTCATTTACAAAACTATTCATCTCTTTTGAACTGGAATTCTCATCATAGTCTTCTATGGACATTTTGTGACTAATTCTTGGAATAATCTACCGACTTCAAAAGCCGTAAATATTTTTTTTTATCTCAGTCGGACTAATCTGGTTTAATAAAGACTGATAAATAAATGAATGAACGGATGAATAAATAAATAAACAATCTTTTAGGTGCTTTAAAATAATATATAATGGAGTTCAGAAAACTCAATTTTATTTTGACTTCTGTCATGTTCTTCTCTGGCAGATGAAGTTTGCTCTCTTCTCATCTGACTTCAAGTCTGAAACAATGTACATTTGAACAAACAATGTGAGTTTAGAAAGGAAAAGCATGTTTTAATGATAACATTAGCAATGGTGTGTGTGAGTTTGCCAGGAAGCCATGACACTGTGACAGTGAAGAAGCATAAACACATGATGGTTACACATGTATGTAAAGAATATTATACCATATTTTGAAATTTTAAAAAGAATCACTGAAAGGTTCAAATCGAATTAAAAAAAGCATTTTTGCAAGGTTTGAAGCCTTGATGATGTTTATTACAGGCTGAAAAGATAGTTCATTAGTTTGTTTTCCATGTTTGAAACCTTGTGAACAAATGAAAAATTCAAAACTGGTGCTCATACATTAGAAAAACAGGTTCTGAAAGGTTGAATCTTGAATCTTTTCTTCATTTTGAAATTTTGTTGACGTGCTCCTGCACTCCTATTACGGTCTGTTATTTTAGAGTTGAGTTTAAAACATCCAATTTTCAGTATTTTTCCCATTCGTTGTCTCATGTGCTTTCCTTGCTCACTGGGCTGCGTTCTCTAGGGCCTAGTGGCACTTATAAAACTACCTTACTTATAAAATGCAGTAAATGGGTGTATAGGGAGTCAGCGGCTGTGGCTCAGAGAAGGTCGTCGTCTGACCAGAAAGTTGGTGGTTCGATCTCAGTCTCCTCCAGTCTGCTTTCCAAATTGTCCTTGGGCAAGATACTGACATAGTCTACCTGTACTGACAGTGTATGAGCAGTGTGTTGTGTGAATGGATAAATGTGACATGGACTGCAAAGCACTTTGAGTGGTTGATATTGTAGTTGTATAGTTAATCAGTTATTTAATCAAAAATTAACAAAATATTAATATGATAATAAGTTCAAACTGGGAGGACCAACCTTCAGAGGAAGGGAAAGAAGCCAAATTACTTTGGCACATTCAGTTTCAATATCAGTATGGAACTCTTGTTTAATAGTTAACTTGATAACTATAACCAAAATCACCACATCAGTAGTCAGCAGAGGTTGAAGGGTTTGGGTTCTGCTAGGTACATTCAATCATTAATAGAAATTGATTCATTATATTATTTAAGAGCCAAATTGAATTTGAATGAACAGATACACGAGGCCCAACTATATAAAAAAAGTAGAGTCTATTTACCATTTAAAAGGAACTGAAACAGAAAAACAAGCAGCTGCAGGGAAGTAAATAGACAGATACTCATGTCCCATCTGTTGCTACAGTTTGGAGATACTGCCCCTGAAAGACATGTGGGGGTGTAATAATGATCATGATGATTGGATCATGGCGGAGAGGTCAAAGGTCAGGATTTCACTAAATGTTTGCTATCAAATCTTATCATGAAGGAGGCACCAGCCATGTTTGAAGACTGAGGTTCCTCTGGATCATCACTGTCATGTGTTGTTTATGCTCTTCATATACTGGACTGCCCTCGTTAATCTGTTCTCCTCTGTGTGTGTGTGTGTGTGTGTGTGTGTTCCTGAAAGTGGCGCTGTAATGTCTCAAGCACATGTGAGAATGCTCTTTGAGATAACCAGTACGTGTGAGGAGGGAACACACACACACACACACACACACACACACACACACACACACACAAACACACACACACACAGAGTTGTGTCACCATTACTACAGAGGACATACATTGAATAACAATGGACCTAGACCTGACCCCTTCATCTTAAAATTAATGATTTTCATTGTGGGGATTTGATTTTTCTCCATAAGGAAGACAGGTCCCCATTATGTGACTTGTAAACAGTTTTAGGTCCACACAACATAAGTAATACCTGGACCATAGACACACCTATACACACACACACACACACACACACACACACACACACTGATGCACCCCTGCATCCATGTGTTGCCCAGCAGTCCGAGGAGCGTGGTGTTTTTGTTTGTTGGTGTCACATTTCGACTCCTCCCAGCTCTGCATCCTATAAAACTCCACCGCTCACAGCTTCTCAGTGGGGTTTGCTGACTTCCAACCCGAGGGGACTTCACCGTCAGCCTGGGCAAGCACACCACACCAGTGCCACCAGCCTCCATCACCACTGGTCTCGGCAAACCACCCCAAGCAACAAACAAAAAATGGCTCCTTTTGAGAAATCCATGGAGATGATGCCCTTCAAGCAAAGGAAATGTCTTGGTGAGTAATTTTCAGATCAGTCCTAAATATTCTTGCATTAACATTTAGGCCATACAATGCATGGACATCCCTTTAAAATGTGTTTAAATGTGTACAAATACCTCTGTGCAGCAACAAGAAAAGATGAAGTGTGCAGCATTCGCTCTAAATTCCCCAACAAGTTGCCTGTGAGTTATTTTGATTCTGTTCTTTCACAAATTAAATGTATTTTACGTCCAGTTTTACTCTTTTTTTGCACCATTGGCTGATCACTGGCATGTTTCTGTGTGCAGGTGATTGTTGAACGTTACATCCGTGAAAAGACACTCCCCCTGTTGGACAAGACAAAGTTCCTGGTTCCTTTTGAGCTCACGTTGGGTCAGTTCCTCTGCCTGCTTAGGTAAATCATCTCTGAAACTGTGTCATACATCTTTCTGATTTCTTCTCAGTTCCTTCCTCCTTTACCTTTTTCTTCTCCCAGGCTGTCAGACCCATTGTTCTCTCAACGCTGCCTCCCTCTCACTCTCTCCACCTTTTTGTCCCTGAAAAATCTGCAGTTTTCTGACTTTTCATCCCTTTCCCCTCTCAGGAATAAGATTGACTTGGACTCTACGAAGGCCCTGTTCCTCTTGGTGGCAGAGAGGAGCATGTCCTGCATGTCCTCCAGCATGGGGGAGGTTTATTCCCGCCACAGCGACGCAGACGGCTTCCTCTACATCACCTACGCCTCGCAGGAGATGTTCGGAGCAGCTCAGTCGGCGGCCAGGCCTCACTGCTGAGTCTGAGACAGAAACAAAATGAACTGAACCCAGACCAAAGGTGCACAAACAAGCAAGGACAAACTGAGCCCAGCCAAGACTGATTTGTCCATTTTTATACCCACAAACTGCATCTCATTCTACCTCATAAACCCTTCTTGACATTTAAACTGAATAAAATAAAATCACATGGTATCTCAAGAAACCAAAACTGGACATACGTGGACAAAAATGCCCCTGATGAAGACATTTGTTTTAGGCTGATTGATAATTTGATTTCTATCAGGAGATATTAGGAGAAAATAACAGATGTGACTGTTTTGAGTTCTGTAAATTAACTCTGAGCATTGCAGTCACTCACTGTTGTCTGAGCTTCAGTGCAAATGTCCCAATTGTCACATACTTGCACTACCAGTTCATGCAGGGTAAAACCACCACCACCTTCTTCTTCTTCTCCACTCTACAAACAAAAACAATGGAGTCAGTGTCTTTCTGGTAATCAGGCTCCTCCTTAGCACTTATCCCCCCTCCCTCCCCTCTTTCCTCTGATTGACTACTTGTCTCCGTCTTCTCCAAAAAATGTGAAATTCTACTCTGGACTCACGCAGATCATTGCAGGGACTATTGATGTGTTGTGTCTCCAGCTGTCACTATTCCAATAAAGAAATGACCTCCTGTCCTTTTAATGAGTTGACTTGGTGTGATTTTTGCTTAAAGGCACAGTGTGTAGAATGCTGTGATATATGTTGAAATTGCATGTTGCAGCTGAACACCCTTCACCTCACCCTCTTGTCATAAAAACTCAAAAGGTGTTTAATTTGTCCAGTTTGGACGAATGTTAAAAAACATGGCAGCCTCCGTAGACTCAAGGTTATTATAGTTTTGAAATTTTCATTAGTTTTTTATTTTTATTTAGTTTTTCAGTTTGCTTTTTTATTTCAGTTTAGTTTTAGTTAGTTCAACAAGTGATTTTGTAGTTTTATTTTATTTTTTATTTTGAGGAATCGACTAGTTTCAGTTTAGTTTTTATTTATTTTTAGTCTTAGTTTTAGTTTTTCCAGGTATTAAGAGAAAGCCTTGACTTGTAGAAGCTGAAAAAGGATGAAACAATGTGTGACACCAAATATGGTTTATCAAGTCCTTTAATTTCATTCTTTAACCATCACCTGCAGGACAGGCAGGGGGGAAACAAAACGACAACGCAAAACAAAGCTGAGTTTATCTGCAATTCAGTTTAGTTTTAGTTAGTTTTGCATTGTTCATTGTAGTTTTTATTTAGTTTTCGTTTTTTTTGTAATTGTCATTGTGTAATTTCAATCAACTAAATTATTTTTTCATTACTAGTTTGAGTTTTAGTCATAGTTTTCGTTAACTTTAATAACCCTGCCGTAGAGAGGGTCTCCTCGATGTAAATATATAGTATTTAAATATAAAGGGCCTTTTCTGTGAAAACATCATGAGGATTATTCTACATTAAATTTCTGCCAATAGATCCCTTTCACCTAAATCTTACACACTGGACCTTTAAATACGAAATTAGGGAATTTGATGCAATGCTGGTCCCTTTTACCTGACTTAGTGTTTTCTTTCTTGCTTAAAATGTTGTTCCAAAGATGTTTCAAGGTCATTGAACAGAGATTTAATCACATTGAACATCTAAAGCATCAGAAACAGATGTTGTTTTATCACATTTTGGACTTCCTGGTGTATAAGAATAGCAGCTGAGTCATTTCCCTTTGCTCATAAGCTTTGTACTCGTGCATCCAGGTGCCTCATTCCTCACCTGCCTCTGAGAAGTGGCACTCCCTCCACACAGCCATGTTATATAAGCCAGACCCGGTTGACTATCTACAGGGGTCAGTGTGTCAGAGGGCTGGTGTTGGTGATGCGGGGGGGCGTTATTTTTAGACATCCAAGGGACAAATGTGACCCAAAAACACAGAGAGGCTGCGGAGAAAGAAAAGAGTCAAGGGAGTGACAGGAATACAGATGAAAAACAAAGAAACAGAAGAAGAAAAACAGGGAGACGTGGCTCTGCATAAACAGTAGAAGAAAGGAAGGAAGAGGGGGGAAAAAGAGACAAGGGGAAAATAGTGACGTCCTCGCAGGAAAAAGGAAACAAAGTAAGGGAGAGATATAAGTGGAGGAGGAGGGCGACCGCTGTCTAAACACACAGTGTACAGAAACGCAGAAGGCCCACGCTCACTTCACACCACTGTGGCCATTCCAGCAGCTTTCTGTCAATCTATTATCACCAGCACAACAACAGGGGCCATGGAGCTGCCTCCACATGTAAATCATCTGTTCTGACCACAGAGGACTCAGCTTTCACTCCAGCGCTTCATCCTTCTGATGACATGATTTTACAGTTTTTTCTATGCTATTGTATAAACCTGTGAAAATAACCACTGCAGACTGCATCAAATGATGTATAACATGTGTCAGAGCAACGCACACTGATTAGAAGAGCGTGCACCTCCACCAAGGCCCAACAGTCTCCTTCAATTCAATCAAGCTGCACCAATAGATATCAGTTAGATTTGTTTCATCAGAATCCTTTAATTATTCTCTGGGAAATTTGTAAACATGTAAAAAGAAAAGAAAAAGAAAGAAATCTATCACAGTGTTAAAGAAAGTGGAAATCTGGATCCACATGCTTCCTTCCACCAAGTTTCCTGAAAATCTGTCCATTAGTTTTTATGTCATGTTGCTACCAATCAACCATACAAACAAAAACAGATGAAAACACAACTACACACTAATAGACTTTCACTGCAACATTTGATAGTATTACAATGACATTGAGGCAAATCGATCTCTGTTACTGTTTGATTTGTAGTATTGACACCAGTTGTGATTATTTGTTTTATCTGTTTAAGATTTTCATGTAATCGTATTGATTAATAAATGTCACAGGTCACTGCCACAGGTCACTGTCTCTACAGCAGAGGACATGAAACACAACCACAGAGTTACAACTGGCCCTAATATGACTCCACATCCGAATAATATCTGTAATAACTTATCAAGACACAAGGGAGCGCCTCTGGACTTTATCAGACATGACATTTCCTGCTGCTGTGTTGAAAAATAAAAAAACAGCAGGAGGAAATGATGAGATGAGAAAAATCTAAAACACGCGTCTCTGTGTGTCATGTGAGCATGAGAGGAAACACTGAGGTGTTGAGAAGACTGGCTCCCTCAACTCTGCTTCCAGTTACAATTATCACCAAGAATCACACGCCTCCACCTAACGAGATACATTTTTTAACAAACTCATATGAGCCACTGTGACCTTTGACCACTGAAATCTAATAATTGAATCTTTGAGTCCAAGTGACAACTGGTCAAACTGTGAGGAAATTACTTGAATGTTTAAGAGGCCAAAAACATCTTTTTTGTCAGGCCAATGTGACCTTGACCTTTGACCTCCTAAATCCCATCAGTTAATCCGTGAATCTGAGTAAACATTTTTGCCAAATGTGAAAGGATTATTTAGAGGCGTCCTTCAGATAATATGTTCAAGAGGCAAAAAAGGGTTTTGTGAGGTCACAGTGACTTTGACGTTTGACCTCTGAATTCTAATCATGTCTCCTTTGAGTCCAAGTGAACGTTTCTACCAGATGTAATGAAATTCCCTGATGGTGTTCTTCTTATGTCACTTACACATGAACATGAGGTCCCCGTGACCTTGACGTTTGACCTCCAAAAGGAAATCAGTTGAATCCAACTGAATGTTTGTACTTAATTGAAAGATATTCCCTCAAAACCTTTCTGGGCTCTTGCATTCACAGTGACCTTGACCTTTGACTTTTGTTCACCAAATTCAAGTCAGATCCAACTTAAACCTGACTGAAAATCAAATTTGAAGAAATTCCCTGTAGGTGTTGATGAAGTACAGGCGTGAAGGCGTGAAAAAACTTCAAAACATAAGATATGTGATGTGGACGTGTACGAATATGTTAACACACATGACATATAAAATATTCTGCAGTGTGGAAATGTGTTGACTCAATGCCTTCCTTTTATCACGCCCCTATTGATGTTAGATAAGAATTTATAACGACAAAATCATAATTTAATTTCTGTTCTCTTCTGTATCTGATTTACATTTCAGTTACTTACTTCCAACATTCTATTTGAATTATGCAAACAGACCTCAGAGCAGCTTCAGCCTTGTACAGGTGATAATATTGTATGTTAATATACAAAGACTGTAGCCTGCATCTTTATTTAGCCTCAAGTCTGAGTCTCACATGTGAGAACCTCCTGCCTTTCTGTTTATGATTTCAACTCATCTCCCTGGGGCCGGACTAAATTTTTTCTCTCTCTAAATTGTCTCCATATGTCCTGGTCTGAAGTGCTCCATAGAATGTGACAAGTGTCTGTCTGCTCCACTTTTTTTTCCATTTGCCCTTGGAAATATGCAGCCACTTGTTTCATGGCTAAATGGCCTTATATAGTAGATCCTTGTGAGGCATCTGGTTCTTGTCTTCATGAACTACAGAGGGCAGTAGACCACATTAAAACTGTCAGAAGGAGGGCATTTCAAAATAAAACTCAGGGTGTGGATGACCTCTAAGTGACACAGTTCTTGGAATGACCCTTAATGACAAAGTACTACAAATTAGAATACAAAAACTATGATTCTGTTTCTTTCTGTTAAATTTAATTTATTTGAGTAAGTTTTCCCTCATTTAATATGAAGCTGTTCCAGTAATGCATTCTCCTGTTTGATCAAATCAAACCAAAATTATGTATCATAGAAATAATCAATAAAAAGCCACATAAGCCTGAGCCGGATGGTACAGTGCTCCTTTTTATTTATCTGGCAAAATAATGAAAAGGGAAGCATTTGGAAAGAGACAAATTTAACAGTCAGGAAATACAAAAATATAGATAAAACAATTCTAATAGTTGTTTTGATTTATTTCCTCTTTCTCTCTCCAAATGGAAAAAAAACTATATTTCTTTAGATCAACATATAATAATAATATTAATATGGACTGGACTATGCTTATAAGACATCTTTTACACAGGATGAACAAATCCATGTTCAGTTCTATCATGCAACCTCCCAATTCCCATCAGTTCACAATCCAGTAATGTCCTTTTTATTAGGTGGTGAATCAAACCCCTTCCCCTCATTAATTTCTAACAGATACGTAAATGTTTTTCCCTCCCTCCCTCCCACCTTCTCCCAAGAAACCCTCCAGTCTCTCTCTGGTGAAAATCACAGCAACGCCTCCACATGGTGTCTCAGGAAGCCTGGAGGCTCGCAGCGTCATGGAGGATGATGCTGTTCATGCTTGTGGTTGGACTTTTTTGTCTGGAGAGTCCGAAACATGAGGCAAAGCGCTGAGACTTCTGGACTGCTACACCCCCTTCTCTACTCCTCAAGGACTGTCCCACGTTTGGACGGTGGCACTAAGTGATGGGGCAGCGTCGGCGGCAGCTCGTGGCCCTCCAGCTTCACTTTGATGAGGTGGTTGGCGAGGGCAAACTCATCATCGTCCAGGAGCCCGTCTTTATCCACGTCGGCCAGCTTCCAGATCTTTCCTAGCACCGTGTTCGGCAGCTTAGACTTCACCATCTCCTTCTTGGCCGCAGCACCGGACACCTTGCCATCGATGGGAGAGAGGGTGTAAAAGATCTCGTCGTATGTGGGCTTATCACGACCCACCAC